TGACCGGTCACAAGGACACTGGGTGGTATTCTAGTTCAGAATTTTGATTTTTCTTAGTTTCCTGGCATGGATAAGGGATAGCTGATGGGACAGAATTTGGTTTAGAGTTCAAAACTTTAGACTTCTAGGAAAACATCTTCACAGATAAGGAAGACCTTCCCATCAGGTCCTGCCCCTATAGAGCAGTTGCCAGGATTGAAGGTCCTGCCCTCAGCCCTTTCTAAGACTCCTCCTCTCTTGGATGCTTTCTGAGCAGTCTCAAACTGTGTCTGCCCACCTCTGATCTCTGTGTCCTGCTCTCCAAATCTTGCATGTTCTTCGAGACCAGGGGGGGGAGGAGCTTCTCACAGCAGGAGAGGGAGACCCCCTGGATTCTTCAACAATCTCTTGATCCTCCTCCTCTGAACTGCTCCCTGTCGCAGGTTTCTCCTGTTCACTAACCCCTGTTATCCCTTCAACACCTTCTCCCAAGCTTGTCCCTCTGACCTCTCCTCAATGTCACACCACCAATCCCCAGGCTCTGAGCCTTACTCTTCTGGGCTTTTCCTGACAGTGACTGGTTGCAGCATGATCAGGTGACCCAACCAATCGGTCCTCTTCTGATTACTTTTGATTCCTATCATTTCCATATAGTATACACTTACCAAAAAAAAAGTACTTATTTGGCTGCATAGAGAGGCATCAAACACAGACAGACACATAAATTTGCACAGCCCTTTTGCTCAGAATGCGGCAACATGGTTGCTTTTGACATCTGTCCTAGGTGAAGCTTCATTAACAAAATATTTAATTGGGGATCCCGCTTTTTTGTTCAAGATTGACACTGGTGTGGGAAACAACTGTGTTTTGAATTTATGGGCGTTTTGTCCCCTAACCATCTACAAGAGACAGAGAGGCACCTCTGCTGTGAAAACAAATTTGCCGGCTCCCACTATAAAAATGTGAGCATCCTTTGTGCTTCCTGCAATTTTCTCCCTCCTTTTTTTCTCTTAAATTGCTCTAGGCAACTTTGCTACATACACAGCTTGTGCCAGAAATCCAGGCCGTGTGTTGCAACCAAAGGAATGTCGCCTTCTAACTGCTTAGAACAAGGGACAAGGCTCTAACAGACAGCTGAATCTGCCAGAGCATTGGTTGCTCCTATTCACCAGCACAATGCTGGCATTATTTGGGAAAGCAGACCCACTACACCCAAAGCCACCCCCCGCCACAGTCTTTTGCAGGCTGCTACAATGAAGAGTAAAGTCAGTTGCAAAGAGTGGGGCTTTCAGGAAGAGCCTTACAACTGCTGAGACCAGCATTTTAATTCCCCCCCCCCACAAGCTGAAGGTCAAAAAGCGGACCAGAATAAAACAGCCTCTGGAACACGCTGTCTCTATCTAGGATATTAGCTTGACACAGAATCACAGAGTTGGAAGGGATCCTACAGGGCATTTAGTCCAACCCCCTGCAATACAGGAATCTCAACTGAAGCATCCATGAGACGGCCGTCCAACCTCTCCCTAAAAACCACTAAGGAAGGAGAGTTCACCACCTCCAGCCGAGTTCACTCCACTGTCGAACGGCACTTACCATCTGAAAGTTCTTCCTAATGTTTAGTCAGAATCTCCTTAGCATATTAGAATATGGTAATATTCTTTCCAACGCTAAATGGATATGCTTGTGCTTACAGAATAGGAGCCGCCCAGAGTGGCTGGGGCAACCTAGTCGGATGGGCATCTATCTATCTATTTATTTATTTGCGTGTGCCAAGCAGGAGCACTTGGGTTGCATGCATCAGCACCCAGATCATGAATGGTAGGGATTCATGAACGATGTTACGTGCATATAGGGACACGGATGGCACTGTGGTCTAAACCACTGAGCCTCTTGGGCCTGCTAATCAGAAGGTTGGCAGTTCAAATCCCCACGACAGTGTGAGCTCCCGTTGCTCTGTCCCTGCTCCTGACAAGCTAGCAGTTCAAAAGCACGCCAGTGCAAGTAGATAAATAGGTACCGCTGTGATGGGAAGGTAAACGGCGTTTCTGTTTGCTCTGGCTTCCACCACGGTGTCCTGTTGCGCCAGAAGCATAGTCCTGTTAGCCACATGACCCTGAAAGCTGTCTGTGGACAAACGGCGGCTCCCTCTGCCTGAAAGCAAGATGAGTGCCACAACCCCATAGTTGCCTTTGACTGGACTTAGCCATCCAGGAGTCCTTTACCTTTTACCTTACATGCATATGCAAACAATGGACCTAAATGCAAAAGTCATAGCTCAGTGGTAGAGCATTTGCTTTGCATGCAGAATGCCCCAGGTTCAATCTCTGGCATCTCCAGTGAGGGCTGTGACAGCTTCCTGTCTGAAACCCTAGAGAGCTGGCTGGACCTGGTCTGACTTCCTGTTTTCCGAATGACTTTTCTCAGAGGCACACTCCTTCAGCCCTTCTTACAAATTACCTTCTGTACTAACCCTGATAATGGGTGAGGTAGTGGATAGAGTGTTGGGCTAGCATCTGGGAGACTAGGGTTCAAATTCTGACTCAGGCATTAAGCTATTTGGGGAGGAATGACCTTGAGAAAGTACTTGTTCTTCAGTTTAATCTACCTCAGAGGGTTGTTGTGAGAATAATGTGTGCCACCTTTAGCTCTTTGGAGGAAAGGTAGGAAATAAACATAATAGAAAAATAGCAAATAAACAGGGCCCACAAGAAAGCACAGTTCTGCTGATTCCTAGGAATGAACATCAAGTTGCAGTTTTCAAAAATCTGCCGTGCTCTTGGGAATCCTAACTTAAAAGACAGTTTTTAACCTTGAAGATGTACTAATAACTCACCAATTCACTTCTTCCCAATGATCTAATTTGGATATTTAAGCAATCTGGTGTCCAACATTTTCAATACATCCTGGTAAACTGCGGGCATATTAATGTCAGGGATTGAAAAATAATACAATTTATTCCTAGCCATTATTCACACAGCCTCATTAACACCATATGGCGTTTTATTGCAGGTTTTAAAATATTCCATGCTCGGAAGATAGAGTTGCACAAAATCAGATGAGAATAGGCTGTAGGGAACAGCTGAAGAAGAATTATTGTAGATGAAGATGGGGTTAAGGAAGGCCAAAGGGAAAAGTGTTTCGTGGAGCAAAAGAAGGAAATTCTCAGTTCGGAGGGATTAGTGCAAGACAAAGCAACTTACGACAAGATCTCAGGGCGACGGGGTGGGGGAAAATGATACAGAAGAGGTTGAGTTAATCAAGATGAGAGAAGACCAATTTGCTGACAAGTGCTTTTGCGAAGAGCCTGAGCTATGGAGTATTTGGGTCGTGATAAAGCGGAAGAAGCTGCTCATATCCTTATCTGAAGTCAATGAGAGTGTTTCAATTGACTTCGCCAGGCGTTGGACTAGCTCCTGAGAATGATTACAGGTGCATGTCAATGAAACAGCAAGGCTGCCAAGGAGGTAATAGAACTGCTTGCGGAAATCAAAACCAAGAAAGAGTCTCTGCATTTTCAGCTTTTAAGGGAGTTTACTTGACTGGAGATGGGATTACTACAGCTCACGGTCTGCAAAAGCATCACAGAAGCATAGGATTTGATAAAATTCAATTTGGAAGAAAGAGGTATGGCAGGAATACACTAAGCGCAGAGCAACCTGCAGGCTCCAAGAATTATCCATCTACATACAGTGTTGGCGAAGAAGGAGCAAAACAAGAAATGGATGCAAATCATAGGTAGAAGAACACGAAGAATTATGCAAAATGGACATGCATCAGGCAAGAGGTAAAAGGAATCTCTGCAAGGTTCAGTTGGTGCAGGCATTTGGGATGTGTGGACAGGAAGATAAAGGATAAAAAATACATGCTATTTTTTTGATGCTATAGGATTGTATGTTCCAGGCTGCTATCCTATGCCTATTTAGTTGGAAGTGAATTCTCCTTAACTCAACAAAGCTTACAATGCATAGGATGGTACTGTTGGACACATCAGGTGTCATAAACTGATGAAAAATTGGTTGTTTCAGTCCAAATATATTTACCTAGGCATCCTACCCACACCCAAGTGATCTCTGTGAGATTACAACTACCTGTTGATTGAAGAGACAGTAAGATATTGACTTTTTAACCCAGACCAACTGGGCATCAAGGACAACAGCAAATCAATGTAAACTTCAAAAGGTTCATGCGTATTCACACACAGACAGACACACTCATGCAATATATTCTAGCTAATGCTTCTGATGCCATGTAACACTCACAGCTGCTATATGGAATCAGCAGCATTGGCTAGAAGACCTGATCCTTACAGCACAATCCTATCCATGTCTACTCCAAAGGAAGTCCCATGGAGTTGAATGGGATTGATATAGGACTGCAGTGTTAACCCAGTTTTCCTACAGACAACACCCAAAGATGAAAGTGTGGTATCCTTAATCAAGTTTGAAAACCAAAAAGCAAACATTGTTTCCTACGAAGGTTTAATGTTTAGCTTCCACTGTGATATGTGGCCTTCAGAACAGAATTTTACTTTAGCTGCGTCGAGCCACTGAGTTTGCCATTATTGCATCTAAGTGTTTCTTCTCCTGCTGGCACAACGCTTGAAGTTGTGCTTTTATTGATGCGCCATGTCAAGGTCTGTGCGTAGCGCAAATTATATAAACAACAGCAGCAGCAACTGAAAGGAGCCTGTAAGTTTACATAACGGCAACCCTGGGTCTGCAACAATTCAACACGGCTTCAACCAAGTGATCCATAATAAGCAGCATGGAAGTACCAAGCCTTCAGGGACGATGCAAAAGTTGAAAACAGACGAGAGCTGGTGTGAACTAAATGATGGGGGAAGATAAGGGCTTTTGAAGTTTTGCTCACGATACAAAAGAAACGGAAGGGAGACAATGAAATAGCCCTCAGACAGGACAACAGAGGCCATGGAAGGAAAAGACCACCTGATCCAGGTTTTCCCCCCAACCTGTCCAACTCACTTTACCAGCAAAGTATAGCAGGGGGGCCTGGAGACTCACCTTACATCCCTCACAAGCACTGACGCCATAGTGATATCCAGAAGATTTGTCCTGACAAACGAAGCAGGGTTTGTAAACACGAGGAGGAGGAAGCGGGGAAGGCGGGCTGGGAACAAGTTCTTCAGAACTGGTGCTCTGAGTTTCAATTGCTACAAAGAAAACGAGAGAAGGACGTTTTTAGTGCTTTCAGATACTGGCTTTGTCATATGCCACCAGCTGATCCACGCAACAGATCTCCCATTTCAAATGTAACTTTTTCTGGGAGCTGCAACATTTAAGACAGATTGGGCCAGTTCAGACATTCAAAAACATCTCTATTAATGTGCCCACTCTGTCCTTCCAGGAAGCATTAATGTGCAGAGCATAATAAATCCCCGGAGCTGCCTGTGGGGTAAGCTTTGCACGCCTGCTTTGTAGAGTGTTGCGAAAACCAGCAAGTGCTTCATTCATTTAATTTATTTGCACCCTGTTTGTCCCCCCAGAAATAGGCCAAGGTGGCTAACAACATCATACTGTAATTAATATAATCATTTCAAAAGGCAATCAATGTGAACAAAATATCAGATTAAAAAATGCAACAGCCAAGCTGCAAATGAACTTTGAAATCAATACTGAAAACACATTAATTCAATTAAAAATTCAGAATGCATAAACAATATCAGTAAACAAGGGGATAATAAAATGCAACCCACGTTTTAGTCAAAAACTTAAACACTTTATGGTCTAGAGCCTTAATTGAGAAATTAATGTGACAAATTAGAATACAAAAAAAAAGAGACATTAAAGACACCTTCCATGAAGAGTGCCTCTGTATGTATGTGTGTGTGTGTGTACGTGTGTGTGTGTGTGAATATATATATATATATATATATATATATATATATATATATCTCCACAAAAAGAATATGATTTGAATCTTTCTCCTACACAAAGTCTACTCTGGAAAGTCTTGGGCTAACCACTGCAAGGGCAGAATCTGGTGATCTTTCATAATATGGTGTCCTGTGCAAGGTCAACATTTGGCACCCCAAATGAATCTTTTCAATTTTGCACCCCCTCGGCTTGGCGCCCTGTGCAGGAGAACCGCCCTGCACAGCCCTAAATCCATCGCTGCCAACAATCTACATCAAGTAACATTACATAACATAAGACAATACTTTCCATTTTTTCTGATAGGCTGGCTAAATTGGAAACTATGTGCAAGCTCCGCTTAATATCTTTATATATGTTATTTTAATATATTTTATTTTAAGGTGGCATGCATGCACACACACCTATCTCCACTCCAGCAGCAAACAGACTAGAAGATGGGTAGGGAGCCTGTGGCCTTCTAGATGTTGTTGGATTCCAACACCCATCAGCCCCAACCAGCACGACCAGTGCTTAGGGATGATATGAGTTGGAGTTTAACAACATCTGGAGGGCCACAGGTTCCCCATCTCTAGAGAAGATCACAGAAACCTTTGGCTAAATGAGCCAAAGCTACCGTAGGCTAGAGCCAGCAGAAACCAAGAGAACTATGCACAACTAATAAATACAGTAATAGCGAAATATTCACAGAACCCCCATACCTTGTAACCCTGTCGTGTAAAACCTTCCCACTCATCTCAGGTCAATACAGATAAAAGGGATGCACTTGTTTCATGGCAAATGAAAGAACAGTAACAAATCTGCAACAATGCTGATGGTATTATGAAAGAAGTTTATCTCTGGTTCTCATGTATTTAGAAGCACAGTGGTACCTCAGTTTTTGAACTTAATCCGTTCTGGAACACTGTTCGAGTTCCAAAATGTTTGAAAACTGAAAACTCAATAGCCGGCAGCTAGGCCTCAGGATCTTGCACTCAGTGGAAGCCGCGTGGCATGTTCGACTTCTGAGGCGTGTTCGAAAACTGAAGCATTTACTTCCGGGTTTACGGCGTTCAAAAACCAAAATGTTTGTCAATGGAGACGTTCGAAAACCGAAGTACCACTGGACTGTGTTTTTCTGGGCTGCACCACTTAAAACCACAGTGGAGGGTGGGAAGAGTTGCACATTTGAACAATCCTCTGAACACGCAAAGAACACCTCCCAAACATAGAATACGAAGCATGAGAAGACTAAACTGGATTATTTAATCTTCTTTTCTATGAGCAGGAAAGGCACTGACTCATTTTATCCCGCGCACCTACACCATGGTACTGTCTTTTAAGACAGAAATTGTCAAAGTGGTGCCTTCTACAACTCCCACTAGCTCCATCCAGCATGGTCAACCATCAGGTGATTATGGGAGTTGTGGAGCAAACCATATGGAAAGCAGTATTTGGGCTATCTCTTGGTCTGGGAAGATATCACTGGTCTCTTCCTGTCCACCATGTATGTCTGTGTAAACTGGGTCTTGGTCCTGCTTCCCGAAAACCAAAGTATTATCTTCACAATTACGTAAAAGGTTTTCCAGGATGTAAACATCAATGCACTCCATTCCTACAACATGCTGAAGAATGGCATACGTTCTCATGAGGCAAAGTGCCAACATCTGCACCAACCATAAAAAATGTCACAGACCACTATATGACACTGCCATATTATTATATTATAGGGGCACCATAAAACTATACACATATTTAGGATTTTGGTGCCTAAAATCCATAATTATTTCAATTCCCCATGGATATGCAATATATGTTCTTATTTTGCTGTTTCTTGGGGCATTTTGACACTAAAAGGTAGCGCTGAGGCTCTCTGGAGTTATTTTGCCAAAAGAGAATGATTTAAGTGTGGAAGACAAAACTCAACTTGCCTTCTAGCTGCGACGTGTTTTATATTCGCACTAGAAACTGAATTAAGCATAAATAGATGTAAACCTTAAGCATAAAAAAACCCCAGCCTTAGGCAAAATAGCTAGGTTTGTCTGATGATTCAGAGAAATGGCAAAGCTTTTTATGTAGCAAAAAGACAAGAGCAAAACCTCTACAGAGACTCAAGTATTGGCCTCATGGGACATTCTTCTATTGAAAAACAAATACCAATTCAGATTTGCAGTATATTATATCTGCCACATTTCTTAAATTCTGTCTTTTCATTGACCCCACGTTTCATCATTGGCTGCTGTTGATTAGAATTCCAGAATGCCAGGGAGTTCTTTTTTTACAGCTTTTTTTTCTTTTTTAAAAAAACAAAAACAAAACTTCAACAAACAGTACAACTGTGTAACAGTTACAAAGTTCAGTCTGTAAGTACAAAGCATCTCCACACACAGGTTGATGTTGGTGGCTATGCCAGCATAAAACTAAGAAGTGGAAACCCAAGTATTTTTGAATTGGTCCCACTCTGATTTACCCTCTGCCACTTTATGGTGCTGTGTAAGATGCTCACGGGATGCAGGTGGCGCTGTAGGTTAAACCACAGAGCCTAGGACTTGCCGATCAGAAGGTCAGCAGTTCGAATCCCCGTGACAGGGTGAGCTCCCGTTGCTTGGTCCCTGCTCCTGCCAACCTAGCAGTTCGAAAGCATGTCAAAGTGCAAATAGATAAATAGGTACCGCTCCGGCAGGAAGGTAAACGGCGTTTCCGTGCGCTGCTCTGGTTTGCCAGAAGCGGCTTAGTCATGCTGGCCACATGACCTGGAACCTGCACGCCAGCTCCCTCGGCCAGTAAAGCAAGATGAGTGCCGCAACCCCAGAGTCAGTCACGACTGGACCTAATGGTCAGGGGTCCCTTTACCTTTTTAGTGACAACACAACACCATCTCAGTCTTATCAAACGCCTGGAAAGAAAGGTCAGTGCTTACCTAGCACAGAAAAGATGTCATCAAAAGCTCTAAGCATTCCACGGACATGGAGCCACAACTGAAAAGACCCTGTCCCATGTCACCGTCCTTTGAATCTTCCTTAGAGTGGGAACTTGGAGAAGGGCCACGACTGGACCTAATGGTCAGGGGTCCCTTTACCTTTTAAGATGCTCATACCCCATGCACTATTCAGCTAACCCCACCTTAGAAGGTTTCTTTCTTGATTTCCAGCACCTAGAGATCTCAATTCTAGCTGCTGCCAGTAATAAGGAGATTCATTCTTCATGCACCAAAAGCAGACTGGAGGTGGTTTCCTTAGTCTAAAGTCAATGTTTGGCAGGTAGTGGATTATCTCCTTAATTGCCCAGTCACAAAAGAGCCCCCACCACCTATGTAAGAAAAACTCTTTACAAACACACCCCCCCTCCACCATGGAGATGAGGCAGACTTGTGGATTTGAGATCATCTCTTGGGGGATCCAGTGCCAACACAAGAGACTTTTGAGCCCTGCTTCCTAAATCTTATCTGAGGTGGTTATAAGTAGGGATTGAGGCCACAGGTTTTCCCAGGCATGGTAATCCATCTGAATTCCTAAATCCCCCCTTCCATATATCTTTGAGGCTCTTTAAGTCACACATGGACACATCAATAAGCAATTTGTAAATCTCAAGAAGAATGGATGCAGCCGGGGGGCAGAGGGGAAGCTCCCCCCCCTAAATCGACAAAAATGCATAGCAAACTGAGGTTCTGCTCCCCCAACAAAAGGCCTGCCCCCCCCAACAAAAATCCTGGCTACGCCCATGCTCAGAAGCAACCGCTTCAAGTATTGGTTAGGACAAGTGCAGGAAGCCTTAAATACCGTCAGCAAGTGAAGTCCTTCCTTCTGCTTTGCCAGTTAATCTATCTGTGAAGAAATTAATTTGGAGGACCTGGGACTAGTTCAAATTGGGCCGTCATATTTTCCTTCAAAACAATTTCTGAAACGGGGTGCCCTGAGATTCTGAAGAAGCCCATGGATCACAGATCTTTAAATTGAAGGTACTTATTACTATGATAGAAATCAAAAGATTTAATAATAAAATAATAATAATAATAATAATATCATCTTTATTGTCATTGCCTCCTCTCGGGGACAACGAAATTACTTGACTGCTCCATAAAAACACTAATTAAACAATACAGTATAGTACAGCAAGGAAGATTAGATGACTTTCAAAGTCCAGGCTTCCCATTCAGGGCTGAGATCGCTCTGGAGAAGAGACTTCCGGGTTGACGCGATCTGGAAATGGCGGATTCCCTCCGAGCTCCGGAGGGAACCGGCTCCACTGAGGATGGGTCTTTGCCGCGCCGGCGACGCGGGGACCCTTAAAAACCGCAGGC